CATATTGGCTCACTGGTTCAGTTGGTTTTGTAGCCCATTACAACATCTTCTTTTTTTAGTTTTATGACAAGATCTCTCGAGTGATCTTTATATTTACACATAAGATCTGAACATAAAACACAAGATCTTCATGAGGTCATTTTCTTCTGTTCAAATTTTAAAGGGTGGTTGGTTCAACCATTTCCTCTTGGAATTTAATTGAAGTTAATTATGTCCTATTCATGCAAGGCCAACTAACATCTATTATGGCATCAGGTGTGGAAGCTGGGAAAAAAGCTGCTGGAGAAGTTCTTGCTCTTCAAAAGCGTGTCCTTCAAGTACTTAATGAGGCCAGGTATGTCAATGAGATCTCATTGTTCTTGCTTGGGTTTAAAATACAGGTGCAAATTCTTTTCCTTCAATTCTCTCTTTGGTGAGACGACAGCTAGTAACTATGTTATTTCTTTCTCCAGCTGTAAACAGCCTGTTGAACCACTTACTCTGGATGAAATAGCTGAACGTTGTCATTGTGAAGACGATGTATGATCCATCTCTCTATGGCTTCCTTCATTTTTTCTTTATTTACACATACAATATGTTGCAAATTGCTGACTGCCCTTTTTGCCATTTGGCAGATTGAAATGATCTATAAGATTATTGCACACATGGCTGCTAATGACAGAGCACTTATTGCCGAAGGTAATTGTGGTACTCCTCACAGCATAAAAGTTTATCTGGGAGAGTGCAATGTTGACGACTTGTATGCCTAGATCTTGCATTGAACATTCTGATGTTTCTACATACATCCGAGAAATACATATGTGCCCAAGATAGGGTCCGGCCTTATGGTGGCTGATTATTGGGGATTCCTAACTTAAAATATCCATTTTTTTTTCTTTTCAAAGCACCATCATGTTCACATCTGTTAGCTGTATCAGAGAGCATATTGCTTCCCCATGATCAAATAAATTTCAGAAAGCTGAGTTTGTTGACACTGCTGCTGTTTATAATATGCTTTTCATCACCCTCTTTTTTCTTATTGATTTGGACATACATACTACTAGTGAAACCAACCAATTGTTTTCTATTGTTACGTCGTGATCTTGGCCTGAAACTTAGTGCAGAAAGAATAGTTGGTCTGTAAAGAAGTGGAATCTTCATAGAGATATTTTATCTCGTGGTCCATTCCCGTTACATAATACTACACTTGTCCTTCATCGATTGTGCAAGGGTCTCCAAAGGGGGAGACCCCGCCCATTTCCTTAACGTTTTGGGTTGGACGCTCAGATTCTATCACTGATGACATATTTTGCAGTCCATTTCAATACTGTTGGTTGGTACCAGGGACCAGTGAGTTGGTCTATTCCACTTTGATTTGTGCTTTTTGGCTGCACCTGCAAGAGAAAGAGACCAGATTGTCCTGAACTTCTTCCCTGTGTCACCAAATATTTGTTAGAAAAGGACCCACACAACTCCCCAACCAAACAAGTAAAGAGAAACAATAAATATCTTGCAATGCTGTGAAATATACTCAACTAGGAAAGTACTTGACCCACAAGTAGTCAATTGCAAGAAAGTTGAAGTCAGTATTCTTATTATTGATACTGTGATGTAACTTGGTACTTCCATCCTAGGTTGCTCGGACTCTCTAAAAACATTATTACATCGGTGTCGGATTTTCCATAAGTGCGCGCTATATTTGGAGGATCGGACACACTTTTGGTGACATTTTTGAAGCAACACTATTTGAATGTGTTTTTCGTTATACTGATTTGTCGTCTAACTACCAAGTCACATCACAGCATCAATTACTTGTAGAGATCAAATCCAGTTGAAACAGATACTATAGGTGATAAAAGTATATGGCGCTAAATCTCTTTTCTCTTAGTGATTCAAAATCTATTGATTCGATTAATTTGAATTTGTAATACAATTGCCTACTAAAAGAAAAGGATTGCACTCTTTTCTCGTAAGGTTTCTAATATCTAAATTTCATACTCGAAATTTCTAATTAAAAAGATCATGAATTACTGACATTCATTCGACTATACCAGATGGGGCCATGCTACTTAATTAACTTTGTAAATTAGTGGTTTCTTATCATGTTAGAAAAATCAGAAATGATTAAGGGAACTTTAATTTGAACACAGAGAAGTTGCTAGGCTCTTTTGCAACAATATATGTCATATTATAAACTGATAATCAATTCGCTGAATTTATCTGAAGTATATTTAAAATTTATATAATTTTTCACTTAACCACTACAATCGAGTCTTGTACCATTTAAACACATGTAGTAGGGTTCGATTGTGCCATTTTAACAATATTACTCAAAATGGTGTCAATGGCACAGTCGAACCCTAATCAACAAATTATTGATCTTTTTAGGCCAAATTGATAGACAAATGTTATTTTGATTATATGGGTATGTCATTATCACTAATTTGAATTCCAGTAGCCTTTAATTACTACAAATTAATTGAATATTCATTACTTTAATGTTGATTATGTTAAAAAAAAAGTTACAAAGAGCAAAATTTAAACAACGTTAAAGTTGGATAGTTCCTCGTACTTAAAAAAAACTAACAAAAGAGTTAGTATCATGTGAAAAGATTAATGATTGATTTTAATTTGTTTATGTTATAAACCTTTTTATGTAGGGTATATACACTTTATGGTTTGAATGAATAAAAAAAAATCAATTTTATGGTCCCACTAATAAATTAAATCAGCTGGTTCTTTTCGAAATTCAAATTAAAGTTGATTCTTCATTAATTTTGTTTAATGTCAAAGTGGTCAACACTATAATGCCAAGTACTTGTAGAATAGACTACAAACTCCCTATAATTAAGCCACCAAGCTTTAAATATCGTCTCTGTCTTATTTTTTATGTTATTTTTTAAATTTTATTTTGAAAAAATTAAAGATTTCATGTGCAATTTTCTGATCAAATTTAAATTGTTTGATTCTCAAAATATAAAACATATCATATTAATTGAGACAGAGAAAAATAAATGATTAAGAAAAAAAAAGTTACTAGTAGGTTAGTTAAATCCCCAGAATTAGCTTGATATTTTTATAATGAAGTTTTGATAATCTATTCAAAAGAAAAAACGAATAAATCTCGTTGAGTTTAATTAAATATATCTCACATTTCTTAAATGATTGGGATGTTAAAAATATCTGAAAAGGTATTTCATGAATCGATCTGATCTAATTTAATTTTTTTTTGTGTTTATTGCACCTCTATTTGATTAATCACTGTATGATATTTTGAATTCTCATTACTTAATATTTGCTCGATATAAATAATATAATAATATTTCATGATATATAAAATCGCTCGATAATAACGATGAAGAAAATTAGCAAATACTCAAAAAAATATGTGTGTATATTTCGACTATTGCATTTTATATTCCTACTACATCATTAATTTACCTCAATTATTGATATTTTATATAATACTACTTGTTCCTAATTTAATTTAATGTGTCGTGGACATATAAAATATATTAATGTTGATATTCAATACATTATTTTTCTCATTATTGAGTTAAAATCTTTCATTTTGAATCTTGACAACAAATTGCTTTTATAATTTGAACGTGCTACATTTTTAATTTTTTTTTATAATTTGAATACTCCATGCTATTTAAATTTAAAATATTTTTACTGTAAATTCAATTATTAGTTTTTGTCTCATATTATCTAACCCATAAATATTCTCTCTCATTATTCTTTATGGAATTTTTTTTCCTTCCATAAGCTTTGTTTGTAAGAAAAGTACCGTTGAATAATGAATTACCCAAATTGCCCTTATTCCATGAAAATTCAAAATTTTATACAATAATATGTTATAAATTATAATATATAGTTACAAAATGTAACAAGCATGATAACGTTTGGTGTAACCGATGAACTCTTTATTTAAAGCAAACATTATTACACATTTATGTACGTTTTGTAAGTACAAAAAATAAAAAGAAATGAAAAGGTCATGATTCACATTTTGATACTAACATTTTGAAGCAATTGTTCTTTCTTTCCAAGTAATAAAATTATGTTATTAATTGAGATAATGTATCAGTACCCCTCAATCTATGTTCGAAATGATTTATACTATATTAAGATCCTAGTACTCCTGAATTTATTTTATTAATAATTTTCTAGCCCTATTCGGCCTGTATGATACTATCTTGTAGATTCAGCGTTTGGTTAATTTTTTTTTATCATGCTAGTGCCATGTAAGTCAAAAAAGGATATAAAATTACTTGTAAATAAGTTCCGAAATAATAATACCTTAGTATTAAATAAGGGTGTTTCAAAAATTTTAGATATAGATTAAGCGGATAGTCATATATTTTTCCTAATTAATTGGATATGGATGAGATATTCTTATGATAATCATAATTCTCAATTTCAAAATTTAAATTTTTACAGATAAGAAAAATCTAAAATAAGGAAATTCTCCTTTTAAAGGTAGAAACTTTCTATGGTGGCCAATTTCCATCTTACTATCAAAAGTTATCAGTATCAAAATATAAATTATTATTCCCTTACGTTTTTAAAAAAAATATAATATTTTATTTTAGTTTATTTCAAAAAGTATAATTTATTTAATTTTTTAACGATATTTTAATTTTAATTTTTTAGATGACATTTTTAAGATCACAAATTAAAAAGTAATTTGACACATTTAATATAGTTTTAATTTAAAATTACAAAAATAATATCGAGTCTATCAACTCAAATTACTAAATTTTAAAAATAAATTTTAGACTTTCTTCTTTGATAAGAAAAGAATTAAATAATCAATGAGAAGTGAACAAGAACAAATTTACAAATTTCAATTTTCAAGGAGGGGTAAATGTGGAAATGAGACCTTAATAAAATTATCCAAATTTTCTTTTTAAAAAATAATATTAATATGTGGGCCCTACCACCCACTACCCCCATGTGAGTGTTTCTCTTTCTTCATCGTTTAAGCAAGCGGGAAAAACTTAGAGAGAGAAAAAACAGGTTGTTCACATTACAACGTTCGACTCCTTTTTTTGTTGTCGTTCTACCCCACCCCCCTCCGAACCCCCTACCCCTCGACACCGTTTTCCTTCACCATTAGTACGTGCTCAGTACTTTTCGGCTAACAATTTTCTCTGCTTCTGCCATTTCTGTTTTTCTTCACGCAAAACCCACAAAGAAATAATAATAAAAAAAGGTTCTTTTTTCTAATCTGAACCAACCCAGTGATGAAGTAACACTCTTCTTGATTCATTTGGAACGGCATCGTTTTTGTTTATTGGTACAGTGGTACTATACTTGTTCAAGTCTGTTTTGTTGTTATGTTTTTAGTTGACTGATGCATTGTGATTTTCTCTTATTTGGTTTTTTTTTTCCTGATTACGGAAGCAGATGTTCACTGAGGGTCTTGATAATAACGCCCTAAAGTGGGTTAGAGAGGTATCATTTCTCAATTTTATTTACCATTTCTGTAATTTTGTCTTTTGATTCTATATGGGTTTGTGTTTTTTTTTGTTTTATTTGGACTTTAAACTAAGTGGGGTTTCCCCATATTCTTGAAAGTTTGAATTTTGATGTCAGATTTTCTTTGTCCTGTTGTGGGAGGGATTTTTTTTTTTTGATTTTTGAAATTTGAAATTCAGCAAATGATGTGATGTTTATGAAGTGATTTGGTTCTTGATTTTTGTTGCTGTCATTTGGAAATCAGGGTTCTGGGCAGCAGACTGAGGAAGTTCCTTTCTCAATTTCAAGCCAAGGATCAAGAAAATCTGACATCAAAATTCAAATTGGGAGTATGAGAAATGGGGGTCGCAATGTTGGGCTTCCACCGCCTTCGAAATTCCGGAGTGGTCATCTGTCAGGGGTTATTCCGGTATCTAGAGTTATACCTGCGGATTTAGATGAAAGTGCGTCGGTTTCTGATAATGACATGATCACTGACTCGGAAGAGGAGGTTTATGGGGGGAGATATTCGCTGGATTCATCACCACATGATGATAGAGTGCCTAGCACTACTGCAGCCACTCAGAGATACTACAATCTCCCACCTAGGCGTGGTGCTATGCAGTATGCAAGTGACAGTATGTACTCTGATGATGTTAGTTCGTCGATGGAGACGTTGGCGAGAGGTCGTGGACACGTGGTTGATAGATTGATGAGAGGAGCTAATAGATACCCAATTGGAAGTAGTGTGTATACTGAGGAGGAATCTTCTGATTCTGCTGCAAGCTCTGAGTTCTCTTCCACCCAAGTTGGGACAAATAATAGAACTGTTCCACGATCAACAAATTATGCATCTGAAGGGTATGCGTCCAGCATTCCATCTAAATTGAATACAGGAAACAAGACTCAGAAGGTATTAACTTGTTTTAGCTATGTTTAAATTGAGTTACCAATTGTTAAACTAATGTGTTCTTCGAAAATGAAATTAGCTTTAGAATTTGGTTATATTGAATAATGCTACGACTTTTTTATTCATAATTGAAGCAGTCATTCAAAGATATCCTTTAAGGAATATCTGATGCTCCTCACTAATGGTTGTCATAAGGTTTCCTGAATGTCCTCCTATGTGATGTCTTTGTCCGCACTCGTACTTTAAATTCTGTGCATTGCCATTTCTATGAAATATGAATCTTAATTTTTCATCTTCCACAAGTTAACATTATGTGACTATTTAGCAATAAAGGTGTGACCTAGTGGTCAATGAAGTGGGTTAAAAAACTTTGAGGTCTCAAGTTCAAATTCCTTTTAGAGTCAAAATACCAAGTGATTTCTTCTCATTTGTCTTGGTCACGCTGCATGCAAACTGTCAGGGGCACCATGGTTATAAAAAAAAGAGAGATCATGCGACTTTTTTTTTGTAAGGAATTATAAGACTATTTACTAAAAGGAATCATTGTCTATCTGAGAAAATAACTGTGTCGTGTGTATATGACTTGGAGTTGCTCAACTAGGCAGGATTATAGTTCTGAGTTTACACTGCAAAGTTTTCAATTGACCTTGTTCTATGATTTGCTGGTGAACAGATTATGTAATACCAATGGTTATTATGAATGCCCTTTGCGCTCGAACATTATCTTGAAGATGAAAAATTGTGGGGACTAAAAGTTCAAACATTATATGCATGAATTTGTTATCTCTTTTTGATGAAGTTGATAATTATATTAATATATTGGAAAAATCATCTGTGTACAGGCACTATGCCAAATAGTAGAGAATGTACAATATAATATGATCGGAGCGACACCCAGTCTTCTATACAAACAATAATTTTGTGGTTGCACCAAAAAGAAGTTAGGAATGATAGGTAATTCCTCAAAAATACATAGTTGTTCTCTACACCTACTAAAGCTCTCCTATTTCTTTTCTCTCATGGACTCACATGAGTGCCAAGGGTGAGACATCCCTCGCTCTTCAACTTCTCTTCCTTCTTCTAGCCTTCTTCACAGTTCTGGGCATTGTCCATTGCAGCCTGAATCATCTCAAAATCTCACAGCATGAGCGAGTTGTCACCTGACAATGTAAAAGGAGGTGGTCACATCTTCAAATGAAGCACCAGTCGACATATGTAATCCTTTTTATTCTCAAATTTTTAGCTGTCAGGTGTTGCTAGACAACTAAAAAGAGCACACCTTTCAAACTTGTAACTGTGAATTGTTTGATTCCTCCTTCACTAAGAGGTGGTGATAATATGAATTTACTATAAATGATCACTAAGTCTGACTAGCTATCATTGATGGCTATGTTTTCCTTTTCTTCTTAGATGAATGTTTCCTAGTTGAATTTAAATTGTTCTACTTGTGCAATGGATCTTTTCTCATGTACTGGTGTGTTTCTTCAGTACTTTCTAGAGAACGTAGACACTCTCTGGTGAACCTAATTCAATCACTTTCAGGATATGACCCCTGGGAATTTACAGAAGAAAGTCGTTGATGAGGATGTTCCCAGTGCGCCTCCATTTTACACTCCTGCTGCTGAAATCAAAGAAGTTGATGAACGGATCCCTGCCTCTAGAACAGCTAATGTGCAATCTATGGCAGAAGATTCTGGTCTCTCAGCAAAGGCAGATAGTCACAATTCTTCTGGCATAAACCACCAGGTCAAAGTTCCAAATAATTCTGACTCACCTGTGAGGTTTGTTCATGAACCAGTTACAAAACCTAAAGCTTTATATTTTCCGTGGCCTTAGTGCCTTTCTTCTTTGAAAGCACGATTCTTCCTGAATTTCAGCTTATATCTGCGTACACCTGTTTTTCAGCACGACTGCTGCTGCTGCAGAAAGTGGAGGGCTGTTGGGTTCTTATCCCGCTCGCCTTCCAACTTTTCATGCCAGGTACCTTTACTGTTAACACAAACAAATTTACAATGTATAGTTACTCTTCCAATATTATCAGTGATGATTTTCTATCTAATACAGTGCACTGGGCCCATGGCATCGCGTGCTCGCCTATGATGCATGTGTTCGGCTCTGTTTGCATTCTTGGGCTAGGGGTTGCATGGAAGCTCCAATGTTTTTGGAAAGTGAATGTGCTCTCTTAAGGAATTCATTTAGGTCAGTTTTTTTCTCGTGTTCCACGCTATTGAGCAGTTGCTATGATCTTTTCTGGCTTTAGGTCACTTTGAGAAGAAGTCTATAACAAACACTGAGATGATTTATGCTGTGTTCAACTTCCTCTCTTATATGGTTGCAGGTTACAGCAAGTTCTGTTACAATCAGAGGAGGAATTAATGGCAAACCGCTCTTCCGAGCTTCCTAAGGAAGCGGCTGCCCCAAAACCCAAGCAAATGGTTGGAAAGATGAAGATCCAAGGTAATCCATTGTATTTACTTGTAATATTTAGGGTCATACTACTGAAGATTCTCTCATTGACCTTTTTCTGATTATGCAGTTAGGAAGGTTAAGATGGGCTTGGACCCACCCACTGGCTGCAGTTTTTCTTCCCTGAAAACACCAAAAATAAAGATTGAATCTGTTAGATATCACCTATCCAATATGCGGTCATCAATCTCTTCTGGATGGCGAGCGATTCGCAAAGTCCATTTTGCTCCTCGTGTGCCTGCAAATGGTTCCTTCTCGCGCCAGAGTTTGGCATACATGCAGGCGAGCACCCAATATGTAAAGCAAGTTTCTGGACTCCTGAAAATTGGTGTGACATCTCTCCGCAGCAATCCATCATCTTATGATATTGTTCAAGGTAAAGATGTTCATTGCTCTTGAATGTTGATTCTTGTATTGTTAGTTCACTTATCCTGTAGCTTCGTGTCACTTTTAACCCATTTGAGATACAGTGAAAACTTATTGTTCTAATCATTTAGTTTCAGCTGTTCCTGAACAAAATTATCTCCACATCCTCATATATCTTCTTGATGAATTATCAACAATCTATCCATTGTAAATAGTTGTTTCACTTATAATATGAATATGTTAATCCTGAATTATCAAGTGCCAGATATACATTCATAGACTTTTGTAGTATGTGAGAGAGATTCATTCTTGTAACATTATTAATCCAAGTTGACTAAATTCTTCTGTTTATAGTGTGATTAGTCTGCTTTTACCATATAAAAGAATTCTTTAGATTGATATGCTTATTTAAGGAGGTAATAATTGTATTAAAAGAGCACCAAGTAACTGCTGCAATAGTAACTGCACAAGAATTCTTGGACCCAAAAAAAAACATGTGTATCCCTGTCATTTTTGCCTTCAAACACCTTGAGTTCTCTCTTCCCATATTGTCTAAAAAACGCTAGCAAGGATGGTATTCCAACACTTTGCCTATTTTCTTGTTCATTTGTGGGCAGCTGCAATAGTTTAGAAGGTTGTAGGGAGTAGGAACTGCCTCACATAACCCTCTGAAACCCTGTGATGTCAAAAATAGCTGCCATATCTGAGATACACCCCTGCGGAGCAAAATTTAATTGGAGATGGTTTCTGATTCTATTTAACCATGGTAGTATCCTGGCCAGCTTGCCCGCAGATATTTTACAATGTTAATCGATCTTAATAAGCTAACAAGACAAAAGGCTAAAGAAATTAAGCGCAGTTCAAGTTGTTACACTGTTCTCAATTAACAGTGGGTTTGAACTAATTACTTTTTATGAGAAAATTGTATGTTCTTGACCTTTCTTTAATCCTCATTTGCTTTTCATACTTCTCACTTTACAAGGGCACAAGTGGCACAAATTCTTTGACCATAGAGGCGCTTTATTTTTACTAAACCCTTGTGTAATATAATGATTTTTATTTACTATGTTATCTCACCCATGAACCTAATATGTGATCAGAGACATACTATTGTTTCTTACGACTAAAAAGTTCGACGGAAGAGGATGCTATTAAAATGCAACCTGGATCAGGCGAAACCCACATTTTGTAAGCTTTTCTTCGACCGTCATCCTGTATTCTTTCTATAGAATTCTGTTAAATGCATATTTTGTCTCTGAATAACTGCTATAATTCTTGGATTGTAATGTGAACACTGTACCCTCTCTACTTCCAAGAGTGTAAGGCCTGCTTACACTCTTCCCTCCCCAGACCCCACTTGGGTATTTCACTGGGTATGTTGTTTTTGATGTGAACATCTTTACAGCTTTCCAGATAATCTTGGAGATGATCTAATCGTTGAAGTCCTGGATTCCAACGGAAAGCATTATGGTCGTGTCCTTGCTCAAGTTGCCACCATTGCTGAAGAACCGGTAAACCTGGCTGAATTCAACTTAGTTATCAACTAGAATTACTGCTTCATTTAGCTCATGATTCTTAAAGTAAAGTTCCATTCAGGGTGAGAAACTTCGGTGGTGGTCCGTCTATCGTGAACCAGAACACGAGCTTGTTGGCAAAGTACAACTCTTTATTAATTACTCAACAGCATTTGATGAAAATAGTCATCTTAAGGTGAGTTTGTCATCTTTTGTCATTGACTAATGATTGATAATGCATTCCTCTTATTGGAGTTCCTCTGTGGAAATTTATGATGACTTCTATTGTCTGTCCATAAAATGATTTGCTGTTACATCCCCTACTAAAAAAGTATTGGGAGAAAATAAAAGCATAATCACAAAATGTCTGACACTTTTCTGGTTTCTTCCTATCACAGTGTGGTTCAGTTGCAGAAACTGTTGCTTATGACCTGGTACTTGAAGTTGCAATGAAGATTCAGCAATTCCAACAAAGAAATTTGACACTACATGGTCCATGGAAATGGTTGCTCACTGAATTTGCATCATACTATGGAGTTTCTGATGCATACACTAGATTAAGGTACGATATATTTTACATCTATGGAGTTTCTGATGCATACACTAGATTAAGGTAATATATGGTTACATCTACTTGTTTTAGGTGCTGGAGGAGTTTACCCACTACCTTATTATGTGCGTAATTATTTTGCAACATCAACTGTGCAGGTACCTTTCCTATGTCATGGATGTGGCAACACCAACTGCTGATTGTCTTACAGTTGTGCATGATCTTTTGCTACCTGTTATAATGAAGGGCCGTTCTAAGAGCATCCTTAGTCATCAAGAGGTAACACTTGTAAACACATTGAATCTGGTATATTCCATATTGCAGATTGGACATCGATACTGTTTTGTGTCTTTAAGATTCCAAATTATTCTGTGACTTTATTGTCTTCAACAAAGTTGTATTCTATATGGTGTTTCTTTATAAAAGAATGGCCTACCATTTGGTAACGTGTAGCTCATAATTATTGACATTGCACAGTGTTGCTTGCTACTTACAGAATCGTATTTTGGGGGAAATTGAGGACCAGATTGAACAGATCTTTGGGTTGGTTTTTGAAAACTACAAGTCTTTGGATGAGTCAACACCATCGGGGATAATGGATGTCTTCAAACCAGCTACTGGAGTTGTACCACCTGCATTGGAGCCTGCTGTTAAATTATTTTCTCTACTTCACGACATATTATCTCCTGAAACTCAGAACACATTGTACAGTTATTTTCAGGTCTGGAACCTGGCACATATTTCTATATATAATCTGTTTTTATCTGCTGTTTTTGGCATAATATTTGATTGCACAGGCTGCTGCTAAGAAAAGATCAAGACGGCACTTGACAGAAACGGATGAATATGTCAGCGGGAATAATGAAGGACTCTTGATGGATGCTGTTACCGTGTCTACTGCTTATCAAAAAATGAAGTCACTCTGTATGAACATAAGAAATGAAATATTTACTGACATTGAGATCCACAATCAAAATATTCTTCCAAGGTATTTATAATTTGAATTGTCCTGAGGCTATTATGTGTCTAAAGTAAATATTTTAAGATTGCTTAGTATTATATGAATTGACTTTTCGACAAAACAAACATTCACATTGTTAAGTGTCATGCATTGATTAAGAGGAATGTGTTGTTCCCATGTCTTGAGCAATCCTTTACCTCCTATGCTAACTTTTGAGGCTGTGTTAAACTTGGACTCTATTTTCTTGACATTGTATCAGAGCCAGACTATCCCTATTCTAGGAGTTCAAGTTAGAGGGCATATGAATATGAAATATCATATGATGAGATTTATCAATCTTTCTCGTTGCTGGACTAATGTTTACATAGTATCAGTTGAGTGAGGAATTGACTATTGTCTCTGTGTATGGTTTGGCAAACCCGATGCGTTTTTTTCTTAACAGACATGATCTAGTGTCCCCCCCCCCCCTCTTCCTACCCCTCTTTTTCTAACTCCCTTTCTCTCTTGTGCTTATGTCTTACATGTGCGTTTCTCCTTTCATGCATAAAACCGTTAAGCATTTTCTTATTGACAAGTCTTAGGTGCATCTCTTGTACAATCAACGAGTCCAATATCAAGTTTTTTTCCCCATTAGTTGTCATTTCTTGCGACATTCCTAACTGCCTCGATGTTTTCCATTTTCTGTGTGCAGCTTCATAGACTTGCCAAACCTTTCTTCAGCCATATATAGTGCAGAACTTTGCTGTAGATTGCGTGCATTCCTGATCGCTTGCCCCCCTGCTGGCCCTTCTCCCCATGTGACTGACCTTGTCATTGCAACAGCAGATTTCCAGAGGGATCTTGCCTGCTGGAATATCAAGTAAGTCTTGAATAAGTGCACTTTTTAATTCATAAGAGATCTATATTCTAAATGGTGTAATTTGTGGTGAAACAACCTGTGCAGACCCGTTAAAGGAGGAGTAGATGCAAAAGAGTTGTTCCATTTGTATATCATCCTGTGGATCCAGGATAAACGGCTCTCTTTGCTGGAATCTTGCAAGCTGGACAAGGTACTAACTGAGGCTTTCACAGGCACTGTTTAATGTTTATACCCTTTGTGTATCGACTCTCTACTAATCTGGCCCTAATATCCTTCCAGTAAGATGAACCATCTCATATGATCTGTGTTTGGTGTGATTATTTTCCAGTAACTCGGCATCCGACTTGCATAATCTTGCACGGTGCTATTTTTTTCTAATTAGTCTTCTGGATTATGCTGGTCGATGCTATTTTAATTATATATGCTGGTCAATGCCTTTTCATTATATATGCTGCACATGTGAACTTGCACTGTAGGCGGAGGCTGGATGGTATCCAGGAATCGAAGGGTCGAGATGCTAAAATCTAGATTAGGCTTCTTAATTTTCAGTAGCCTAACAGAATCATAGGAGGAGCTTGGAAACATTGAGCCTTCATTTGTATGTAAGATAGTCGCTAGAACACTTCTTGAAAATTTTGCAATGCAGCAAGGAGATTCAGAATCATTTTCTTGCATGTGTGTGTTTTGAGAGGAAAATTAAATTTTAAAATAAGAAGAGTGTGCTAAAATCATGCACTCTCCAGGTTTAATTTTGGAGGAAAGTTCTTAGTGTGAGTTTCCAACTTGCTGCTTTCCAGATGCAATGTAAAAATATTAGCTACTAAACAGGCCTTGTAATTGATAACTACTAAGGTCTAGATTTGTTTTTGCTTTTTATTTTAATTTTTAAAGATGGGCTAGTTCTTACATTTAGCAATGGGGATGGAAAGAATTTATCAAGATGGGCCAATTCTTTTTTTTTTAAGATGGGCCAATTTTTGCTTGTTAGATGGAAAGAAAAATTGACTCTTTACGCTACTGACAGCTTTCTTGGTTCTGCTTCAAGTTATCCTAGGAGTTGGTTATCATTGGTTTTCACTTTCTGCTGATCTGCTCTATCCTTCGTTCTTCTTGATTGGGCTGAATTAACTCCTTTATCTCACAGGTGAAATGGTCGGGAGTGAAAACACAGCATTCAACAACCCCTTTTGTCGATGAAATGTACGAGCGCCTGAAAGGAACTCTTAATGACTATGTGATCATCATCTGCCGCTGGCCGGAGTACACATTTGTATTGGAGAATGTATGTCCTGATTATTCTTGTTTCTCTTTTTTACTACTCTGCGTGGAAATATACTATTGTAGGCAGTTGCCCCGCACTTGCTAAAAAGCCTGTTGCATTTTCTTTTTATCGCACCATTATAAACCATCAAAAGGATTCATTAACAGACTAATTGACAGTGGAACAGTAGTAATTGATACTCTCATTATCTTGTGCTCCGTGTGGGTATACCAGTATATAGTCTCTGGTCTCTGCCTGTGCCAAAGTAGATATATTTATTTGCTGAAAAAGGACCGGTATGTTTAGACTTCTCCATTTTATGAAAAGCAAAGAAACTGAAAAACGTTTGAATTTTATTTCATTTTCATTTTCCTTCGTTGCATCACACTTCTCAGTTTCAAAAATTACTTTATTTCATTTTCATCTTTCTCCTTGCTTCATTTCTTTTTTTCTCCTGGAAGTGAAGAGAGATTGAGATAAAGGAATCAAATAGGCAGTAACATACTGGCTGTTGTTGCACTTTGTTGTTCATCTTACAATTTTATTTCATTTTTTGGTTATTTGAAACTACTGTTTTAATTTGTACTTGACAATTTTTTTATTTCTCTTGATGTATGAAGGCCATTGCTGATATTGAGAAAGCAATTTTGGATGCACTGGAGAAGCAATATGCAGATGTCTTGTCTCCGTTAAAGGAGAATTTGACACCCAAGAAATTTGGCTTCAAATATGTGCAAAAACTTACCAAAAGATCAGTTTGCCCCTATGTTGTGCCAGAAGATGTAAGCAGCATGCTTATCTGCCCTTCATCACATTTGTATTTCGTATTTTTAGGCCTGAAACGTGTTCGTTCTTTCAGCTGGGGATTCTTTTGAATTCAATGAAGAGGATGCTAGACATTCTGCGCCCAAACATAGAGCAGCAGTTTAAGTCCTGGGGCTCATGTATCCCTGAAGGAGGAAACACCGCCCCTGGAGAGCGCCTGAGTGAGGTGACTGTGATGCTTCGAGCTAAATTCAGAAATTATGTGCAAGCAGTCATTGAGAAGCTTGTGGAAAATGTAAGTTTGCTATACATTTTGGTTAAATCTAAAACTAAAAGGAGTACACACAGATAATGCACTTCGCTCTATATATTTGTCTACTTGTACTTACTGAAACCTTTCAACTGATTACGTGATTCTTCTGATGAGATTTATCAATAAAGTACCATGAAACTTCAGAAACTTACATAAAAGGGAGAGAAAAGTGCTTGGTCAGGATAACATCTGTGCACATTATGTAATTAGCAAAGTCTTTTAAGTGCGGAGTCATGGACCAAACCGCTAATTTGCTCTCTTGAAAGTTCAGGTCTGAACAGTAGGCTCCGTTATGCTGATCTTATGCGGCTGCTTTAAGATATATGTCATTCATTTCATAAAGAAACTCATAACCGATGCTAATAATGGAAAATGCATAAGTAGCTCCAGACAAACTCTGCACTTATATCTCTTTCAAACTAAAGCCATACACTGACTACTAAACAAATATCACCGTTCCTGTTCAGACGAAACTGCAGAACAACACAAAGTTGAAGAAAATTTTACAAGATTCCAAGGAGAATGTCATAGAATCAGACATAAGATTTAAGATGCAGCCACTGAAGGAGCAGCTGACGAGTACCATAAATCACCTTTACACCATTTTTGAACCTAATGTTTTCATCGCAAGTTGTCGAGGCTACTGGGACAGGATGGGACAGGTTGGTTGAACTTCTGGTTGATAGCTTAGTCTTCATTTTTATGTGAAAATTCATACTAATTTCAATCTGATGCAGGATGTGCTAAGTTTCTTAGAGAGCAGGAAAGAGAACCGGTCTTGGTACAAGGGCTCACGAATTGCAGTCTCTGTAAGTAGCAACGTCTCGTTTTTCTAGGACAAAGTGCATTTCAATTACTTCATGTTTCATCATTTTATGTACTTGACATTTGCAGATCCTAGATGATACCTTTGCCTCTCAGATGCAGCAGCTTTTAGGCAATTCGCTTCAAGAGAAAGACCTTGAGCCTCCAAGGTCCATTCTTGAAGTGCGATCAATGCTTTGTAGGGATGCATCGAATAACAAAGGATCAAATTACTTTTACTAGATGTAATTATGTATAGATGGTGTCCTATTCAATTCCATTATTTTGTTTCCTTTTTGGTTCCGGAAACAGAAAGAGGAAGAAGGGTGTCGTTGCCATAGCCTATAACCTATAGTCTACAGGTGGATTCGCCTCAGATAAGGGAAGATGAAGATCACGGTGAAAATGTTCTCTCTTATGGGTTTTAGGCCTGCTACAGAAGAAAGAATAGGAGATAGTGTCTCTCAGTCATTTTTGTTGTAGGAGCAGGTGACTCTACTGCTCCATATATAAAAGACTTATAGCTTGTAATTCACATTTTGTCAAATTACATCATGTTGAGTATGTCTTCTGCGTGTTGTGTTCTTCCATGACTGCACTCACTCTATCTACATATGCAGAAGCAGTCAAGAATCACTTGACGTTTCTTATTTCAACTCAAAAATTGTTTATATGCCTACTAGATATCATTTAATAACTTTTTTCTTCGAGTTGGGCGCTTTATCTATTACAAGTATATGGGTAGCAAGTGGTCAACCTGTTTGAAATTAAGCAACCAGGCATTAGGGCAAATAAAACAACTATTCAACAGTCACACTCCACAACCGGTACGAGAGAGCTGTAGGGCGATAAATTACTAAATGACTCAGAAGGCATCATGATCAACTGCGATTCGTAGAGAGTATCAATAACAAACAAGATCATCAGACTAAGCCCGATCAATCTGCACGCAGGCTATTCAATTGGCGAAATATTTACATGATTAAACAAAGAATGGCATTTATATTACATGTTAAAGAACCAACAACAGAAACCTGAGGGCACAAGTAAATGTTACATCATGCAGGCGAGGCGAAGCCTTGGGATTTCAGCTAAGCCAGAACCGCTGCTTATAAGAGCTTTGATATTACACGGCAGGAAGTCCAGAATGCTGCTGATGCAGCTCTTAGAATAGCTGGGTTTTGGTATATCCTGATTAAAAGCACACATATTTAGGCAATGATGTCAATGAGACTTGCATTCATTAGGATTTGCTAGTATCCTTCAATCTTCCGAGGAGGCATTAAATATCAATCTTCCGAGGAGGCATTAAATATCATACTAAACAAATAAATCGAGCACATGCCAAAGATAGAATTCAGTTTAGTCTATTAAGGCAAACATCAACTTTCGATTTGGCAACAACTGAAGTATCATGCTATGCAAACTAGACCAAGATAAGAGCACAAAGAAAATTCTACATGACACACTCAGTCCCTTGTTTCTTTCCAATTCACATTCAATCAGTTTTAAAGACAATCGAAATTGATTTCTCCCCTTCTCCACATTCATGGATTATAAATTTATAATAATCTAGCAATGAGCACAGTTAGACAAACTTGGGTACAGCTTAAAGTATAGTAGGATTATATTGGGTATGTTGTTGGGTACAGCTTAAAGGGTAACATGTTTATATTCTTTTTGGTTTCTCCTCCTATTTGGTGTTTTGATTTGGGAAACCTAGTGATAACCATTATGATGGCGTGGCAAGAGCTTTAGATGGAGAGAATCTGGCCAAGAAAAGTGAGAGAATACATGGAGCTGAAAGACTACAGGCTTATTCATGAAGGCTAAAAGATTTCCTTGCTTTAAGTGTCTAAAAATTGTTTTGCACTTCTTAAGCTATAAGCACTAGTTAGCCATTGCTTATAGTCTGCAGTGGGAAGAAGATTATGTTCAGCTGTCTTTCTATTCTGTTTCCACCTTACAATGAGCAAAACATGCTTTAAAGTTGTTATTGAAAGAACAAGTGCAGACAAGGAAAGAAACAACTTTCCTCAAAAAAAACATTTTACACAGAATATTGTCATATATTGTCATCTCTGAGTACATCAGACATGTAGATAGAACAGAGCAGAACTACTTTACCCATTTTTGAAAAAGAGATAGCAGAACTACTTTGCTGAATCAAATAGGTTTGCTTACCCAATAGCTGTAGCCCCCCAAGATGCTACATTGTAAATAACTTTGCTTCCATCCCATGCCTTTCGGAGCTTTCCTTTCTTCTTTTTCAAAGAGAATGTCTTGCTGAGAGCTGCGAAGAAAATCTAATGTCACTTTCCCTCAATCATACTTTTAAAAATGAATTGAAGCAGAGTGAATGAAAACAAGAGTTTTCTTTTTAATTATGTTGGAAGAAGGCATGAAATTCAACTAACCATCTTGGAGTTGGTTTGGTGTCAAATCCTGCACAAATTAGTGCAAAGAATTAAACCTCCTAGCGAGGAGGAGACACTAATGTAACTTTGAGTGACGTAAAACTATTCATCATGAATCAGCACAGCACTCAAAACACAATTGGCACTGTAAAATTATTTTCAATCTTATCAACCAAAATTGATCAATTAGTCAACTAATATCTTTTTTTGACAAGTTATCAACTAATGCTCTTATATCAAGGTCTTTCCTGACCAAAACACAGAGATGTGAAATGACCTTCGGCAAGTCAAGTGGGCAGATTTTGGAGAAGAGATACTCCTCTGTTTCTTCATTTTATGTAACATCATTTGATAAGGTAGATAATCAAAGATGTTCATTTCAGTTTCGTAACATATTACTATTGGTAAAAACAACGTAAGGACTTAATGGAAAAAACTTGATATCAAATTCTACTTTGAACAGTTTGAAGAAAAAAAAATGAAGTTTGTTCAAGCAATATAAAAACTATTTTAACATAGTTGTCGAAATATAGGGATGTGAATTGTGTCATAATTTGTGGCAGAGGGGATATCATTAGATCTTTGCAGGCTTTTAGTGGCTTACTATAGAAGGAATTCCTCCAGACTACAGAAAGCAAGTGACCTGACTATTAGGAGAACCAGGAGACTGATCTAACATTATTTACAGCAGAAAGGTTTATCTACTAGGACTTCTCCGCTAAGATTGCTGTGAGCCACTCCACAAAGTCTAGCTTTCTAATTTTAATTAGTTTCTACTTTCGAGGAAAGTAAATTATGAGTGGAGTAGCAACTACATCATTCTATATGTCTAGAGGGCTACAAAGTACAAACAAACTGCTAAGATAAGGATAAGAACACAAGAAAATGACAGAGATGATTAAAAACAAGGTAAGAATATTCTTTACAAAGTCAAAAGGTAAGCAATTTAATGAATTGAAATAAACACATTTACAAGGAAAACCAAAACACTGGAAGTTGCATTGAGCTATGTTTCAACTAGAGGAAATAAAGGAAAGAACCAACACTTGAAGGAACAAGAAGATCAGGCCTGTTTCTTCTAAGGAAACATACATACCTTAGTCTGCTTAAGAGATAACAGGTATGCAGCCATAAAGCAAGCTATACCATCCACTATATCTTCTTGCCTTACTAAAACATAGTCTTCTCCATCTAACTCAGGATCTCCACCTTCCCAAAGGTCATTCTCATTGACCATGTCCCACGAACTTCCTTCTTCTACAACACAATAAAAAAGGAAGCTATTACTACCATGACCCCACTCGAGAAGGAGACTGATAATACTTCAGTAGTCATACAGTTACCAACATTCTGAAAAATATACCAGCTAAGTTTTGTGGAACAGATACTTGAGCATTTTCTAGCTTTTGAAGGAAATCTGAGCATTGAACTCTAGATTTCAGGAGATCTCGCAGCTGCACAACAAAAAAGAAACACACAAAACACACTTTCAAACGTTTTGCCGTAGTTGATGTTCACAGAAATTAAATTTAATAAGTAGATTGCCTAAATCCATCTATCCAAACAATAGAGTGGGAGAGTGGCGTTGATCTGCTTGAATCACAAATAGTCAATCATTATTTCATTCAAGTGAAATCAATGCATCTGCTAGTTGAATGAGAAGCCAGTAATGTTCAAAAGCAAATAGTGTATGTAATACCTTATAAAAACATAACAAGGATGACCAACTCAAATAAACATAACATAGTACATGCCAATTCTTTTACTATGCAATTAATGTTGTGCATCAACTCAAAACCAAAAACCAAAAACCCTTTTAGAGATTAAGGCAGCAGTAAAATACAAAAACTGTCTCAAATTAGAACCACAAATAAATGCAATTATGATAATTATATCAGTAATATTCAAAAGCACCTTATAGTTCTCCGACTATGATGAGAATACGGAAGTACATAGAGCTTGATTTCTACAACTCTCGTGATATAACCTAATATTTGATAATAGGACTTTCTAGCTAACTTAGCATATATAACCATATGCTTTACATCTCTTCTATTTATTTCTCCAATCGAACTAGAAGAATTTTCAAATTTCTCAGCTACAGTTATCGCTGTATAATCTATTTTCTAGCTCAGCTCATGTTGTTAACATTAAAAGATTCCAACTAAATCAATTCAAACACTTTTTAGCACATAATACAAAATATTTCACAACCGATAAAGCTGAAAAAGAAATTAACAACTACTATTTCACAATTATAGACAGAACTACTAATAATTAACGCTGACCTCATCGGTCTCAACATCGGCAGAGGGAGTAGAGGAGCCTTGACCGGAGTCCTCCAAAGCATCCCGGTCAACATCACTGCTAGAATTTGATTCATCGGTGTCATCCTCAACGGAACCAGTAGTACTAAGCAATTCAAGAGCTCGTTGACATTCCTGTAACACAGCCTCAAGCGTTTTTCTCTTCACCTTAATCCGATCCTGATTAGATTTAGCTCTCACCAACTGGATCGGCTTTGTACCTGTCACCTCAACCACCTCCATGCCCCTAACAATTCAAACACATATATACAAACACCAAAAAAAAAAAAAAGTTTCGCCTGTATGTTATATGTAGAGATAGAAGGAAAAAACTGCAGATAAGGCTAGCTGAATCTATCGTATTTGCAGAAATTGATTGAAAACCTCCATGGATTTCGAGGTTTTTTTTGAAGAGAAGATGGAATTTGGGAGAAGGGCAAAAAAGGTGAAAAAGAATTTGGGTGAACAATAATAATTGGAGTCCGTGTTCAAGTGGTGGCGTGAGCCGCCTGCGTTTTGTTACGAAATTGTTTTACGTTTTTAGGGCCCAAAATGAGGTGCGCTTTTTTTTTTTTTTTTTTTTTGATGTTATGGATTGTTTTCTATTGTTTCATAATATATTATATTTAAATGAATATTGAATTTTTCATGTATTATTTTATACGAAGAAAAGGTTCATCAGTTAAAAAAAATTGTTTATATCGTTATTTTTAATAGTGATTTTATAAAATTATTTTTGATATGTGGTTAATTATAATTCTGTTAAATTATCAATTTTTTAATTAAAAAAATTTATAATTCTGAGAAAAAAAAATTGAATCAATTTTTTTTAATTAATGATGACGTGGCAAATTAATTGGACATGTCATCAATTTTTAAAATAAAAAAATTAAAATTTCGAATAAAAATTGAATTATGTTATGAAAATATATAAATTTAGAAGAAGAAAAATTAGGAAAAGAAAAAAGATTTCTTATTTCTCTTGAAATATATTCAGGATTCATAGATATTTCACAAATCTTATTTACAATGAATAAAACCTTTATTTATAGGGAAAATCTTACTTGGTCCTCAAGTAGGATTCCTAACCATATCAGGACTCAACATAATTAGACATTCACTATAATATAAATTGTTTATAACAAATTAATTTATTTTTTATTGCATTTTTTATTTAAAAAATTAATGACGTGGCCAATTAATTTGCTACGTAATTAATTTTTTAATTAAAAAAGTTTAGTTCAATTTTTTTTTTAATTAAAAAATTAATGACTGACTAAATTATAATTGGTCACGTGTCAAAAATAATTTTGCAAAATCACTGTTAAAAGATAATGGTAATGAATGAGCCTTTTCTTAAACGGTAATGACATAAATGAGCAAAACTCTTAACTCATGACATAGATGAGCCTTTTCTAAAAGTTCAATAACATATTTGAACCTTTTTCCATACATATATCATAATGTATAATATTGTCATATAATACTATAATATAATTATATTATTTTGATGAATATGATGATGGTATTACTTTTTGTTATTATATAACATTATGCATTTATAATTTAAAGAACAAACAAATAAAAGACAAGGCAAAACTATTATTTTTAAAAAAAAAGTTAACGAAACAGACAACATGATTATGGAGTATTTTTATAGATAATAAGCAAAGATAAAGTAAGAAGAAAATAGAAAAAATATGAACACAAAATAGAACTTTTGGTTGTTTATCTAATGAAAATTTTAATGATATAATTACATAAAATAGGATTTTTTTTAGCGATATCAGAAAAGAAAGATTTTAGTACTATGATACAATAAAAAGTTAAAATACCAATCAAACTAAACACTAATTAACATAAGCTACTATATGAGCTTTATTCATCTCATATTATTTCACGGTTAAAAAAAAAACAAAAAATCATCTTTATATTAATAGAAAAAAAACTAAACTTTGACTTGATTGTTTAAGATCATATAAGAAGTTCAAATAAATGTATTATCATTAATCAGAGAACTAAATATTATTGCGTGTCTGAAATTAGATATCTATGTATGAATAATATAAAATTGATGTCCAATATTAAATAAAATCATAAATTAAAATAAACCTGACTCTATTTATCGTGATAAGAAACAAACTTCGAATCTTGAATCCAAAATTTGTAAAGATTACCTAAAATCATCTAAGAAGGTACATATTAATTATCGTGATGTTGAGCTTAATTTAAAGTAACAAGGTGTATTTTACTAAAAGCAAGAAGTTTATAAACGTATAGACATATAGTATATAATATTGAATGACCTAAGTTACTTAATTGAGTACGCCAACTAATGAGTTTTTCTTTTGTATAAGATTAAGGATATTCTTGGGTTTATTTTATATCATAAGGTTGGCATCATCAAGATTTTATTAACAAGGAAAGAGATGTTGGCATCCATATATGATTAACAAATTTAAAATTACAATTAAAGTGGGAATAATCTCTTACCTCCATTAATATTATGGTTAATTTATATGATTGAAAGAGATAAGTATGGAAGTGCTTGTGAGTTTCTACTTTTTAAAGACTAAAATGATAAAATGGGGCTTCTCAATGCTCTAGTGTCTTTACCTCATCGTAAGAAATAACACTTCACTTGCTATTTATGTACTTTCCTCCTCCTCACATTTACTTATACGGTTTGCTATTCAAATGAGTTAATATTTATTTTTTTGCCTTTTAAATGGATTGATTTTTTTTTTTGTCTTTAAAATCAAATGTATACCTAGAAAAGGAGTATGCTTTTTAAGGATACGAGACATAATTTATAAAATGTTATGATGTAAAGGGAAAATGCATAAGTATTAATGTTCGAAATCTCAGAGACACACTTATATTACACTCTTGAACTTATTTTATGATTAATTGTTTACTTTTTTCGACCCATGTCACACTACCGACTAGATAATTTGAAAAAAATTGTCAGCTGGCGCTGGCGGAGCCAGAACTTTTGTCCAAGTGTGTTCATACTTTAGAACAAAACTGAATAATGAAAAAAGTTAAAGAAATCGCCACACTAAGGCTCGAACCTAAAATGTAAAGGTATTTTTGCACATCCTTAATCGCTGGGCTGTCAATCTTTATTGTATCAAGGTTATTCAACAGTTAGTATATATCTAAAAAATTGATATTTTGTGTATATCTTCGAAAATAATTTTCAACGACGGTTGTTCATATGACCAACCTTGCCATGCCATAGCTCCGCCCCTGTGCGCTAGGCCAAGAAGATGATGACACCCATAATAAATATCCCAATAAGAGGAGGATAAAAAAAAACTTATGATAAGTCCATCATAGAGATGCACAAAGGAAGAAAATGAACGTCTCTTGAGCGATCGATCAAGAAATGCAAAGATAAGGGGAATGGTTAGTGATGAGGACATAGGAAATAAAAAGTTTCTTCGCTCACTTTTGAATCCTCCTATTTTCCTTGGTTCTAGAGTGGGAGAAGATCCCCAAACATTATCGTATCAAGTTTATAAGATAATCCATGCTATGGGTGTCTCTTCGAGGGAGAAGGCAGAGTTGACTTCCTAACAATTGAAAGAGGTGCCCTAATGTAGTTCACAAGGAAAGATAATAGACCGGTTGAACCGGATTCGACTGAAAAAGGATTATAAAATTATTTATAAAATAGGTTTTAAAAAAAGTAAAATTTTAATATAATATAAGTGTCTTTTTGAGATTTCAAGCATAGATTGAATGTACTTATACATTTTTCCAAATATAAAAGTATAAGTTTATATCCCGTCTCCGAAAAGACAATTCGTGTTGAGGTTAAAACTTAAGGACCAACACAAAATAAAAACAAAAAGTTCAAATGACCCTTTCTCACGTAACCCACTAAGCCCACAGCCCAACAACTTCAGCCCAAATAAACCATTCTTCTCCAGCACCGGTCACACCCCCATTCCCGCCAAAACCTCGCCGGCAAATTTCCCGGCAGCGGGGTTGTCTCTCATTTCTCAACTCCGAACTTTATGCATACACAAAGCTTGAGCATATTCTCTCACTATACAGAGAACTGATTAGAAGAAACGGAAGCGGAAGCGGAAGCTCCGGCTTCAGAATGTCTCAATTGGAGTTCAAGGTTAAATCCCTTCTGTTCTCAAATTTTTCTTCTTGTACATAATGATTTATATAATGAGCAAATTAACCATCTCCCAACCCAAAAGGCGAAAAATAGTAATTTATGTGAAAGTCAAAATCAAAATTTTCTGTTTGTAATGTTATATAGAGACACTTCTTCTGAATCCAAACATCAGTTACAGTAGAAGTGTTCATTCAGATTCATATGGGGAAGTTGATTTGTAGAATAATATGCCAGATTTGCTGGACCTCCATCAATTTCATGTGCATATTTAATTAGCATTTTTTTAATAAATACAGCGTGCCTAAATATTGCCTGGACAAGAAGATAGAATATTTTATTGCTCATATCTAATGTTGACTCCTTATTATATATTCCCAGAGAGTTTGTGAAGAAAGATCTCTATGAAGGAAAAAAAATGGCCAAAAGAAAGCAAATGCTTTGCTGCAATCTGTTTTCAGTTATTTTTCTTTTTCTTCTTGCAGAAATAATACATTTTCCAGAGTGTGTTAAGGCTGCAGGTTCACCTGTTAAGTTTCTTCCAGGCTTTCAAGGACCACTTCCTTTTGAACTTGAAACTGGGTAAGTGTAAAAGTTGTTTCCTTGATGTTTAGTCTTATTTTTGTTTCTCAAAGAATAGTATATGATTGAACACTTTCAATAGATAGACATTTTATACTAAATTGTCTTGTATTGGATGCAGTAGGGAATTATTTTTGTCTGTAGCTACTACAGTAGGGAGAACTTGAAATTAAGTTAAATAAAGTTTGTGGAAGTTGGTAGTTGGATTTGTGAAATTTGATGATTTGTTACTGAAAATCTGTATTTCTCTCTTTTATGAGTTCGAGACCATGTTAAGATTCGAAGAAGAATCCACAGAGTTACATTTAAACCAGTATTTCAATATTTCGCTTGAAGTGAAAACACTCGTATCCAAACAAGTATGTGCAAATACTGAAGCTCAGCATTAAATACTAAAGATAATATTAATGCATGGGTGTTGTTTCAGGTACATAGGAGTGGGTGATTCAGATGATGTTCAACTATTCTACTACTTCGTTAAGTCTGAGTCTAATCCAAAATCAGACCCTCTTATTTTATGGCTAACTGGAGGCCCTGGCTGCTCTGCTTTATCTGGCCTTCTCTTTGAGATAGGTCCAATAACATTTGAGCCTGTGGAGTACGGTGACTTTAAGCCAGCGGAATATAATGGTAGCTTCCCCTCACTGGTTTTGAATCCTCATACATGGACAAAGGTGAACATATCTGTCAGTGACTAATTTTGGGATATTCGTAAGCGTGCAGTTAAACTGAAATGTTGTTTAGTCAGGTAGCAAGCTTTATATTCTTGGATCTTCCAGTTTGTACTGGATTTTCCTATGCAAGAACCTCAGTGGCTCGTCAATCAGATGATCTACTAGCTAGTGATCATGCATATCAATTTCTACACAAGGTAATTAGATCTCTAATTTCAAACTTTTGTGTGACACTGATTCTGAAATCCAATTTCTATCTTCAAATGGCTTTGCCATTTAATTAATTCATCCATTTCCCTTCAGTGGTTCAATGATCACCCAGAATTCTTTAGAAATCCATTTTATGTGGCTGGGGACTCCTATGCGGGAATAGGCATACCAATCATTTCTCAACTCATAGCAAATGGTAGGACTTTATAATGAAGTGCATTGTTGTTTTCCTCCAAGAAGGATTATTTGTTTGTTGTTCCATTCGTTGACCATTCACTATTCTGATGATGTGATGTGGTAATGCAGGAAATGAGAAGGGACTTGAGCCATTTATTGATCTTAAGGTTTGTCTTTTGTTTTTGTTAACGTTTTTTACTGAATGAGTTCTTTTGTTTTGTATTAGGATATAAGTCATTACATAGGTAGAGACTCCATGAACATCATGAAAGGTTAGATATAGGCTTTCTTAATATTTTGCATCCTTCAAATGGTTTCAGGGATATTTACTGGGCAATCCAGCTACATTTCATGGTGAATACAATTACAAGATCTCATATGCTCATGGAGTGGGTCTTATTTCTGATGAACTTTTTGAGGTTTGCATTTTTCATTAGAAACCTTTTTTATTTCACTGATATGCACTAACAATGTAGTGCAAATTTTACACTGTAAATTCAATTCAACATGTTGGAAAAGTTAAAATGCTTTATTTTTTCTTAGGTTGCAAATTCAACTTATTATTGGGTAGATGTAATTATCTTTTGAAGCATTTTCTTCATATTATACTGATTAAATGGATTACTACTCTTAAACAGTCCTTGAAGCAAAACTGTAAAGGAGAGTATTTCGATATACATCCTAGCAACACAAAATGTTGGAATGATATGCAGACTTATGATCAGGTTTGTGTCTATTAATTCATTTCTCTTGTGCTGCTTCCATCTTATTTCTTGGTTTATTTGAGTAAACTTGATATAAGTTTTATGATTTTTATAGATGCTTGGTGGAATTACCAATGCGCACATTTTGGAGCCCAAGTGTGAGTTTGGTTCACCAAGGCCACAAAAATGGATAGGCCAAAGAAGGTCTCTTGATGAAATGCTATATCTTGGACGACTAAGATGTCGAGTAAGAATAACCAGTTTTTATCCCTTGACAATCATCCACTCTTCAGGGAAATTCATATTTTACCTCCTTTCTTTTTTTGTCATGTTAGTTTGACTGGGAAAAGATGTCTTACCATTGGGCTGATGATGACAAAGTTAGAGAGGCCCTCCATGTTCGAAGAGTATGTTTTGCTTTTTCTTTTTTTCATAAAACATGAATTCTAAAGTTTTGGGAGCAACACAGATTAAAGTTGGAATATTTACCTAAACTAGTAGGTCCATCAGAGGATCCCACATTAGCTCCAAGACGTTGGTCTCTAACTAGAAATATTATCCCATGCAGGGTAGTATAGGTAAATGGAAGCGATGTGCTGGGGATGCCTTGCCTTACCAAAAGATAATCGGAAACAGTATTCCATATCATGCAAATCTGAGTGTCAAAGGCTATAGGTCCTTAATATACAGGTTGAGCAATCATATCGTAAATCTGCTGCATAAATAATAGACTCTCTGTATGGATTTACTTAACTTTTACCATATTTATTTCATAAAACAGTGGAGATCATGACACGATGATCCCTTACACATCAACCGAAGCTTGGATAAGATCTCTTAACTACTCCATCGTTGATGATTGGCGACCATGGATTGTTGATGGTCAAGTTGCCGGGTAAGTTCAAGACTAAATGAATGCTCTTTGATCTATGCTTGAAACATGCCTCAAACATGCAGGTATACAAGGACATATTCAAATAAAATGACATTTGCCACAGTGAAGGAAAGCAACTATTTGACTTATATTTACTTGTTTTACTCTTCTGTTTCTTTAGTAAGTTAACATTTTTGTTTGTGTTGTTGAACTGTTGTGCAGGGAGGAGGACATACAGCTCCAGAGTACAAGCCTGTTGAATGTCTAGCCATGCTGCGAAGATGGTTATCTTATCAGCCTCTGTGATCAAAGTAGCTGATAAATATCAAACGTTGAAACTGTTAAGTAGTTACATGTCTAGATAGAAGTGTTAAAAGGTTTGCTAATACGCAAACACGACCGACAGTTTCTTGGTTGAACTAGAGCAGGTCCATCATATTACGAGTATCTTAAAAGCTAAATTTTAATAAGAGGCCTTAATATATACAATAATGCTTCTGTTATTGGCTTGCATAACTTATTCAATATATGATATATGTACTATATTTTATTTTTGTTCAGTGTGTTTTGTCACCTCTAAATCTTTGCACATTTTATACAAATATCTCATTCACGTGCTCTTGTATTATTCCCCTATAAAAAGTAAACAAGATAAACATTAAAGTGTACATATATTTCATATTATCTGCTACAATAAAGACAATGTATACTTTTTAATTATCAATCATCTATAATTTCAACCTTACATGTTGAATATTTGGAATAGTATAATTGACCACACGCGTTTGTCTACAAAATCATGGTAGAAGAAATTTGTCATGCTACCACTTTTAATTTTTATTGTTATCTTAGATAGATAGCGTTTTCATTTTTAGTGAGTCTTGTGAATTCAATAAATATAAATATTATTATTTTAGTGGCCGATTATATATGGTATAAAATTGGATTACAAACAAGCATTTCATTGATATTATTGAATTGATGGAATTATTACAAAACCACCTACTGATGAGTATATATGTAACTCATAAACTTTAAATGAAGTTCTTCTTATTGTTTGTCAAAATTAGGGAAAATGAATTTGATAGGACAAACCACTTTTTGCCCACTATTTGATGTTATACACATGCTTAGTTATTTATTCATAACAAACAAGTTAAGAAGAAAGCAAAATTTTTTAATTGTGCATGTGCTAAGTGGCAGAAGATATTTGTTTTCTTATATATTCTCAAATTTCAGTCTGTGTATGCTTTTTACTTTTTTCACCATGTCATTTACTGCTTTAGAAAAAGTTGTACCGCTAAAAAAGCGATCGAGCTAAGCGGAGGTTTGTAGATATGAATAAATTAAATTTTTTTTTTAGATTTTATATTTATATTAAAAAATTAAATAATATATATATATGTATTTATATGTATAAACCCCTTAACAAAATAAATTGATAATTTAATAGAAAGTTAAATTATTAATTTTGACTTCACCTCTGATTACGTATCCATATTTTTTTAGAAGAAGAATGGGCCAATTAAGGTCCCTCCACTTCTCTGATATATATATATCATCACTCTCTTTGTCTTTGTCTTGGCTCATGATCATGATGTATATATCACATAGAAATAGACCATGCCAAGTATATATGTTCATCATTTTATAAATGAATATGTAGAAATTAAAGTTGTTTGAAGTGACAAGTATTTGAGAATATTTTTGAATTTATACGTAAATTATTAGTTTCGTTCTTTAATTATTGACAGTTTTAAAATGTCATTTTATTTGACTAACTAAATTTAGATTTGTCTTCGATTTGTCACAAAACATAGTAAGTAGTCTCAAACTCTTGTTAAGAGCATGAAACTCTTAAATAAAAGCTGAGAAAAGTGTTGAAAAAACTCTTAAACTTGAAGATAATTTAGGAGTATATTTTACTCCTGACGAAAAATAAAGGTAGTATAGATTTTATTATTTTTCTTTTTCTTCTTTATTGAAAGGTAATTTTTAGAGTAATTAATTAATTAAATAGTTTTAAATGAGTTTATATATATATATGCGCGACACGTCATTATTTAATTCACTATTTTGACATGTTTTCTTGATAAGGAAATCCTATTTTATGTACCCAACTCAAAATACTTTGTTATATTTCTGAAGCATAATTTGTTATTATCTGATTGCATAAGAGTAAAATAGGTATATATTTGTTTTCAATCAAATTTCTATAATGTTCTTTTTCAATCTATATTCATTTAACAAAAAAATAAATAAATACATTAACAAACTCACATTGTAATAAAAATTTCAGGTTATAACAATAGATTTAGTTTCTTATTTATGAAATGTCGAAATTACATCAATCATATATTGCTGATGCAATTACCTTTTAAGCTAAATTCAAATTCATTTGACATAAGTTTATCTTGTCGAATGAAATTTACAAATCACGTAAACTTTTTTTAGCAATTACACTACATAAATTAGTTCCCTTTTTTTCTTCATAAATTAGTTCTATTGAGCTAGAAAATTCTATTTATTTGTTCCCTTTTGTTATATTATCTTTTTCTAAAAAAGATATATATAGTGTAATCGCTCGTATACTGCATATTTTTGTAATACTTGATATAACTTTATAGTATAGGTGAGGATTCATATTTAGTTCTCTCGAGCCTTTAGGAAATCAAATATTTATTCATCTTAATAGAATTTGAGACGTACGTAACATATATTCTAAAAATAAAAATTTTAAACTTTTTACGTATTACGTAAATAATTATTCTCCAATATTTTTTATAGTGTTTTCATAATTAGTGCAAGCTCAATCAGGCATTGATTTAGGAAGTGTGTGTGTCTCCATCAATATCAAAGTCAAAAGAAGCAAAGGAAAAGGTCTTCTGCTGCCAACATTTAGGTATCATTGACATT